TGTGTTTTTGAAACCATTAGTGAAAAGGCCAGACTTCAGGGGTATCTGAGGCAGGCTTGAAACACAAGAGTCAGGGTGGCTTCTGGGTAATACCAGATGGCTAGGCCTCAGACTGACGAAGCCTCTTGGATGAGGGGCGAAACGTTTCTTTTTAACAAAAAAAACGAAGTCCAGATGACATGATTCAACCTTTTTTGTTGTTACATGTAAATGAGTGTAAAATAAGTATAAATTGACATAAAAGCATCAAAATAATCATTCCTATATCATTCCACCCTTGCCTTTTATGGCAATTTAGACATTTAATTCTGAAAAGTAACACACACAAAATGTATATGTTTGAATAGGCATAAAGGCAACTTAATATATTTTTATAAAACATATTTTTATATCATCAAGTTACCATGGCAAAGTAATTTGCGAACAAAGACGCAATATTTCACCAACTCCAGGAACTAGTTGGTGACTGACCAATTATTATTCTACACCCGAAAAGCATATCTTTTTTCAACTTTAATGCGGCCCAAACCGCAAAGTGGATCCCCACAAAACTTATATCCAAATAACGGGCCCGGCTCCGAGATGTTCAGATTGTTAGGTTAATGGCTTGTTTAGAGAACCTTTTCATGATATGCTCATTTTTTGGGAAGAGGGCATTTTGGGTTTCCATGAGCTGTATGCCATAACCATCAGTGTTATAACAATTAAAGACCTGAAATATTTCAGTTGGCGTGCAATGAATCTGAAATATATGAAAGTTTCATTTTTATCATTACATTATGGAAAATAATGACCTTTATCGCAATATGCTAATTTTTTGAGAAGGACCTGTGTATATATATATATATATATATATATATATATATGTCTATATATGTGTCTATATGTCTATATGTCTGAATATATATGTCTATATATATCTATATATATATATGTATATATATATATATATATATATATATATATATATATATATATATATATAAACTGTGCCTGCAGTCAACCTACTTCACATATGGGGAGCAATATTATAGGCAAAAACATGGGTGTGCTATGGGGTCTCCAGTTTCTCCTATTGTTGCCAACCTGTACATGGAGGAGGTAGAAAAGAGAGCCTTGACGTCCTTTTCAGAGACACCACCAAGTCATTGGTTCAGGTATGTTGACTACACCTGGATTAAAATTAAATCTCTAATTGAGAACGCTCCTACAAGAACCCTGCAGATGTTGGATGCTGTCTATCATGGTGCACCAAGATTCATAACTGGCTGTGATTATCGTACCCACCACTGCACCCTGTATTCACTGGTTAACTGGACATCATTAACTTCACGCAGACTCTCTCACTGGTATATTTTCATCTTTAAATCACTTCTTGGTCTGTTGCCTTCATACATCTCCTCCTACTTGTCTCTGTGTGAGTGCAGCTACAGCGTGCGCTCTCAGGACATCATTACCTGCAGTGTTCCCTCAGTGAGGACTGAACTAGACAAAAGGGTCTTCTCCTACTCCGCTCCTGTTTCCTGGAATATCTACACAAAAAGATTTGAAGCTCTCGACCTTGACCTCTCTAAGTGTCTTTAAGAATCTGTTGGACACCTGGCAGGGTCCAATGCTGACATGTTCCTGTTTTTAGTTTTCTACATTTGTCTTGGAATCTAGCTGTTTTTTGTTTTGTTACCTTTTCCTTTTAGCCATCCTATTTGTTAAAAAAAAAAAAAAAAAACTGTAGTATGCTTTTTTTTGTAACTGTTTATTGTTGTTGCTGTTGTCCATTGTTGTCATCTTTCTTTGTTGAAATCAGGTCTCTCTTGTAAATGAGTCCTCGAGGCTCAATGGGATTTACCTGTATAAATAAAGGTTGATTGATTAAAATCTCAGGAAGTCCAACGTTTTACTGACCACATCAAGTCTGTGGATAAATACATCAAGTTCACACGAGAAGATGTAAAAAATGGCAAGTTGGCTTTCTTGGACTGTGAGGTCTCATTCTCTGATAGAGGACATTTGCAAACCGAGGTGTACCGCAAACCCACCCCACACAGACCAGTATTTGCAGTTTGACTCCCATAACCCTTTGGAGCACAAGTTAGGAGTCATCAGGACTCTGTATCACAGAGCAGACAGCATCCCCACTAACTCGGGAGCCAGGCAGAAGGAGAAATCCTACACAAAACAGGCTCTAGAGCAATGTGGATATCCTAACTGGGCCTTCCTGAAAGCAGAGAAGAAACCCGAACAGGACTCCAGTCAGCCATCACGTGAAAAGGAGGAACCCAGACCAGTGGTCATTCCGTATGTTGAGGGAGTATCAGAGAAACTGAGACATTAATTTTCTAAACGTAACGCCCCAGTGGCTTTTAAACCACAAAATACATTACAGCAAAGACTGGTTCATCCCAAAGATCCAGTCCCCCGGCACAAACAGAGTAATATTGTGTATGCTGTTCAGTGTCAGGAGGGCTGTGATCAGTCTTACTTCGGGGAAACTAAACAGCCACTGGCCAAAAGGATGGCCCAGCACAGAAGATCAACATCATCAGGCCAGAATTCTGCAGTCTACACTCATCTCCAGGCCAGCGGTCACTCTTTCAAGGATGAAGATGTTCACATCCTGGACAGAGAGGAACGATGGTTTGAGAGAGGAGTAAAGGAGGCCATCTTTGTGAAAAGAAATCGTCCATCATTAAACAGGGGTGGAGGCCTCCGGGTTCAACTGTCCCC